TAAACATTGATAGAAATACAGACATAGCTACATAGTTATATATAGACGAATAGGTAGGTAGGCACATATGCACACACGGACACACACACACACACATATATATATATATATATATGTATCATATACACACATAGGGTACATAGATAGATGCGCAGATATCTAGAGTTTTAGCTGCCACCTAGCTATAGTATACATGTCTATATACAAGTATAAATAGATAAATGGATCGTCAAATTAATGAATGAATATGTATATATATATATATATATACACACACATACAGGTGTGTTTATGTGTACACACCTCTCTCTCTCTATACATATATATGTATATGTATACATACTATGCCCGTATGCACACACATATACCTTTATACACACACAAGCATACACATGTATATATGTCTACATATAGGTTTATAGGGACGACGACCCAGAGCAAGAACAGCCTTAACACAAGAGGACAAGTTGGAGGACTCGAAGGACGATCCAGCCAAGAAGGGTAGTAAGAGACTGCGAGACAAGACTAGAAGGAAGGCATTTTAGGGTTTAGGGTTTAGGGTTTAGGGTTTAGGAATAGAATAAGTTTACTGCTCATGGAACAGCAAAAGCTGCTTCTCAACGCGAAGAGTCAAGAATGGCACTACCATGAGCATTGCACAGCATAAAGAGTTGTAAAGGCAAGGTGCACATGATCGTGTTCGTGAAAGCATGGCAAATGAGATCGCAAGGAAGACCTGGAGAACTACTAGTAGTAACGAACAGAGCAGCATCATGATCCCTTGTCCTTAATAATTAGAATAGGGCTTTGGGGTATATTATATCTACTATAACTATAAGAAGGAGCCCCCAGAATAGCATTGGTAGGGGTTATACATTGCATCATGCTGGCGGCGAAGTGAAGTCCGACCCAGGAGTGATCTCAGGCCGTACCATGGGCCCCAAACCCCAGACGTTCCCATATCCCTGAAGGAGCTCCTTAGAGGTATCAGCAAGTAATATAGGGGCCTTAATAGTTAAGATAGGGTTTGGGGGTATCTTATACTAGAAATATAGTAAGGAAGCCCCGAAACCCTGTTCTGACCATTAAGGTCCCTACATCATCCCCATGACACCGGACCTTGCTAAGAGCGGGAGGCTTTTAGCAATGTTGTCAGCATGAGTGTCAGTAGTCAGTAGGTGTTTCCGGCCCCGCAACGAGCAACCTGTGGCATTGAAGGCAGAAGCATCAAGTTCAAGAACGGCTACGGTTCTGACAGCATCCCGAGAAATCCGAAACCGGCTCCGAAATCTACGACCGTGTTTGTCAGGTGAAGGAGATGGCGGCCGTGCGCTGAAGGAGGCATGGAGCAAGAACCGTAGGGCTGTGTTGAGTGCGACTGTTGGTTGTTTCCACGTTGCAGTGGGTATGCGAACTGTCCTCGGTATTCCTTGGGCTACAATGATATTACGTTATGGTAGGCGGTAGGCTTCCACCACTAGATGTCAATAGCTTGGTGCATCGACTCAAGACTCTAAACCCTGAGCCAAACACCCGAGATCTTGGCCCTAAGCCCTCCTAGCTTTGCAGCCAAAGCATTGAACCACAAACTCTGAAGCCTAAATGTTGAACACAGAACGCAGGACCCGAAAGCCTTCTCCCACACTCGTTCTTAGCACTCTGCTGTCGCGAGTATCACGTTGATGTTCTTCATGTTTGTTGTATTGTCATGAGTGCTGTTATTAGAACCCTAAACCCTAAACCCTAAACCCAGTTATTGTTCTTTGCCAAACTGAAAGCCGCAAGGCCTAGATCTATCGCCCAGAACCCGACATGCCACAGTCTGCAGCCGCGTTCCTAACCCCTGAACGGACCGGGGACCCCTGCAGTTTCAAACATGCCACTTCATTATCATCCTGATTATTATGAGCAGTGATTCATCTTATCATTCTTATGATAATCATTATGATTACTATTAGTATTATCAAGCTAGCGCTTCAATCTTCATGGCCTTTGAGTGTGTTTGGCTTGAGCAACCGCCTCAAGGGTTCGGATCTCGGCCCTAGAGGTTCTCCATCGGAAACGTCAACCCTGAGGGGTTTAGGGTTTAGGGATTTAGGGTTTAAGGTTTTGGGATCAGGGTTTAGGGTTTCCCTAAAGCTTCAAAATGAAGCACAGGCTTTGCGTACCAGCCACAACTCCGCTGCCCGAGCTTTGCCTTTTCCTCGGTGCTCTTGGGGGCTGCAGCGCAAGGTCTTTCAATCGGTCTTTCAGAGGCTTGCAAAGATTGTAACTGGGCAATTATTGGTTTTGGTGGCCGAGCGTTTTGGTCGTAAACTCGAGATTCAAGAGTCGAGGACACGATTCAGGGTTCAATGTTCAAGGTTTAATTAATATCCCGAGAACGCTGATGAGATCCATGCACCAAATCTGCGTTTTGGAGCACAGGCCTTCAACCCAACCCTAATGTTGTCATGAGGAAGTGTGCAGCGAGTAGTCGAGTACAGATGTGCCTTTCTATAAGTCAACTAACTGTTACACACTCTTAAGCAATATGTACATGTCTATATATATATATATATATGCATAGGTGT